AACATGTCTGTAACACCAGAGATGAAGTATCCTGGAGTAAGCGGGAGACGAGCTATCTCAGGGTTGAAGGTCTCTGCTACTGCTTGCTTTTGGATAACCGTACGGACCACATCACACCAACAGTTCAATGCCGTACCAAAGACCCCAGCACAGAACCCACCCGTTACGTCCGACATCTTACCACGACCAAAGATCTTATCAGTTCGCTCACGGAATATATCCAATGAGAAAAAGTATCCACCAGTCCATAACATCTGACGTAGTTGCATCCCTGTATAGCCGATATAAAGACCAACAACTCCACGGCTTCGGACTAGGTGCCTGCCACAAGCAGTCAAAATACTCAAAAAACCCAGCTTGCGAGTGTACACAAACGAACAAGAATTTGCCAAATTCCCATCCCCAATGCTGTAGCCTATCCCCACCTCATGGTATCAGCAGTTCCTTTGAATTTGCCTTCAGCGTCCAACTGCTGAGCTAACTTGGCGTTTTCAAACGGCGATATAGCAATGACCTCAGGTATAGTAGCCAATGAACCCGCAACTCCCTTAGAAAATGGCGTACCATCCTTCTGTTTGGAATTGAAAACCCTCTGATGGAAAATTGGCTGCAGCCAAAACTTGATGACCCTCGAGAAAGTCGCACGCATCATTTCAGCGCCCAAGCCCTTGGATACGAATCCAGAAGCACCATGAGTTTGATAGAAGTTCTTAACCAGAGTTGTGACAGATGAGCGTTGACCCGAGGCCTGTGCCATGACCAAGGCACGAACGATGTCCACTGGGTACATAGCGAAGGCCGTCACCACTGCAGCCCCAGTAACGGGAGGTAGGGTATCGAACGCGGAAGGGGTGGCTTTGGTCGTTGGCATAGTAGAAAAATCTATCGAGGATAACCTACTCAGTTACAACACAACTACTTGTTGTTATCAAGTGATATGCGTGTAGGTGTGATTAGTCTGTAGAAGCTCAGAAACACTGGGGAAAGGGTAGGATTAGGACCACTCAGATTGTCAGCACGGTCCTATCCAATGTGTTCGACGTATCTACAACACTGCTACCGCAACACTTACTTTACCTCCCCTCCCACATCACCAAATTATCATCACTACAGTGCCGAACTTAGATACATTAGGCATCCATATCAACTTATTTCTGACGAGTTTAGTCGAAGATACCACGAAAAAACGACCGCAGCAGTTGGCGCTCGCTCATCCGATCGATTTGAAACCGCTTACCCGTCTACAGCCGCTTTGAACATCGCTCCTGCAATCACAGCATTTCCCTCAGCCTCGATATCGACTTCGTCTCTAACTCTAGTGTAACACATCTGATCGTAAAAGATATATTACAATATTCCTCAGGACGTGCGCCGATGTACATTCCATGGACCAGAATCTTGCGAATCCACACTTGTTCGAATCGTCGTTCTCGCACATTCTGAGTGCGTATCCACGAGTTTGTGAACATCACAAACTAATCTCAACCTCCAAAGCAATAACGACAGTTCCGGGGACGGCTCTTGATTATCCGATTAACCCGTATCAACCCGTATGATGGGCTAATCGATTCTTACAAGCATCTCCAGCTTGATCTCCGCGATTGCTGCCAAAACGCCGTCCATCAATCTGACCACGCCTTGGAAGCGACCAATTCACGCTGGGAGAAGGCTTTCCTGAAAGTATCGACCACAGCATTGGTGAGTCAAGGATGGAATCTTACCATCGACCGAGCAGTCTCTTTCACCAGTAGAACACATCACTGCCTGACGATGACGCTCCGTAACCATCGAGCATGCTAAACCTCAACAGCAATATGTAGTAGCAACAACACGTCCGAATTGTTCCCATAACCAGTTCATCGACCATTCTGACTGCCTCTTTCATCCCATAGGATACAACATGGAGGATGAAGCCTGAAGAGATATCTCCAAGAGAGACTCTCTTCCCATTGGATCGAATACGAATTAAATAATACTTGCCACCAAAAGCTGGTTAATGAGCCTCGTTCCGAGCAGCGGAAACTAAGAACTCGTACAGTACGTTTTTCAACATTATTGGGAGTTCTCCTGTACTATGGAAAAATACACCCTAAGAATAAGAAACTTCCACGACTCGTGGGAGGTATGGCGTCGACCTAGCAGTAGGAGTGGCGTCTGCCACCAGCTATGATCTTGTTAGATCCCGAGTGCTGTGATGCTAAAACAACTTGCAGTAAGCCCTCCCTCACAGAGAAGGACAACAACAACACCGTACATTGAATGAGAGATAACCTCACACTAAGCACAACATAGGAGGTGATGGAATAGGAGAAACTGTAGACACAAAATTCATTGAGGAAAATCCTTCTTGAGGCATCCAATCTTCACAGCCTCCTTTCCTGGGATCATCACTATGCCGATCTTGCGGACGGATGAGTATTCTGAATACAACCTCATTACTGCGTCACTGCGCCACGAAATTCTCCCACAACCTATTTAGTTCCGTATACAAGCATCGAGGTAGGACGATAATAAGGACTCCATATAACCTACCTCCGTCTCGTCGTCGCTTCTCAACAGCGTTCCGTAGTACTATATTCTCTTTGTTGTCGATACAGTAGAGACGGCCTGTAATGTCTCGACCATCAGTGAGAGTAACTCGTAGACATTTGTGGAGGAGGGAGGGGAGAAGGTCAGTAGTGGATGATGACATATATTACTAGACAGCTGTAATCAGATACTCAATGACAATCCTAGTAGAGCTAGACACGTCATTATTATCTATCCTTCAGGCCGGCCTTATTACTACGCCATGCCATGAACATTACCCATAGGAGAGTGCCAAGGCACACCAACTGTATACAGTAGGGGGGTCGAATTGAACCATCCCTACATATTGCGCTCGTCGTCGTCCTTTACTATCGCAGCTGATAAAGTGTCATTCGGACCGTCGAGGGAGGTCATCTATAACGATTTGAAGGACATGATACGGCTGCTTCCCATTACCGTTATCCCCTAAGTAGAGTAGGGGCAGGTCCGGCATCCTATAATCTTCACAGGTTCTTCCTAGCATGGATGACTGCGTCCATCCCTCTCCAATAGTAAGTTACAATTCGTGCCGAACTAGTTACAATTTGCAAGTAGCTCGACTACTTCCAATAGCGTTCACTCCCGGACAACAAAAGTTTCGATGACTTTGATGTGCACTTAAACCCTCGACGATCATCCTTCGAGTTCGTCGAAGAGTGGTATGGAACGTCGCTACATCAGACCTCACAGTTGACCTGGGCCTAAATCTGGATGAAGGTATCACCATAGTGTATCACCTTCGTCATTAATTGTAACATCAAAAACGAGCGTCGCCAGTAGTGCGATCAAATATACTTCCCTACTTCAGTTTAAGTCACTACTTGCCGGTAGTAGCTCCTCTTAAGACCCCTCTTAAATACCACCGTCCGACTACGCACTATACATGATGACTACTGGTTCAGTAGTACTGAAGTAGGACACATACTGAACACACTCCACATGATTCCCATAACGAGCCCACTAGCTGACCTCATATATATCTCTACGATACGGTTTAGTACCGATGGCTAGCATAGATTGGGGTCTGAAGTTTCCAAGTGAGTTTCAATTTTGAGTGTAGAATCTCGGGCGAGCGCGATAACACAGAAAGATTTTTTTCATAGTGCGGTGCAAGAGGCTCGGCAGGAACAGCTCATGCGGCTAACTGTATTCTTGACGGATGCCTCTTGACGTTGAGACCTGCGAAGTGATCCTCGCTGACGATGAGTTGGCGAATCGAATGGTGAGTTAGTACACACATATCCCATCCTGCAAGTGGACATGATCAGGTGGCACAAGGCAATCTCGGTCTAGCTGGTTTTGACGAGGACAATGAGCTTATTTATGAAGGTAGATGACACCGCTGCACTCTCCTAGATACATTGCCTTCCAGCTGAAGACGGTCAGGAGGCTCTAGATAAGTTCGCCGAACTCCAGGATAATGGAGGGGAAGGCCCTATCATAGTAGGCCTTCCCGTGTTGGCATCTTTATGGTCTTATCCCTGCTGCATACAGGTCTTACTGGATTTGCACATGACTGGTGGTATGGATGGTAACCTGGCAGCTGAGCAGTTGAAGGAGAAGTATGATGAGTACGAGAGGAAGCCATTCATCGTGTGTTGCTCGGCTGAGGTAACTTATCAACACATCATAAGGTTAGATGCAGCCCTACAGGTTATCGAGGATCTCAAGGCCAAGCCCTGGGCTCATCTCTTCCACCATTTTGCAGCTAAGCCGATGATGATGGATGTTGTCGAGGAGATGGTCGCTAGCTGCTCGGAATGGCTCGATAACGGGTCAATACAGCCCGACGTAATTATCGACTGGATTTATGCGTAGGTGTGAGAAAGATTATACGACTGATGAGAACGGCCCTGGTGATGCGGAGGAAGAGGAGGAAGAGGAGGAGGAGGAAGACTAAGGCACGCTGCTTTACATGCTAACTGGTGATACTTCTATTTGAGGATCATTGTTGTGTTAATCATCATACAGTAAAATGAAAATGAAATGAAATCATTAGACTTCGTGAGATTGATTCCTATCATTGTCCGTAAGCCCAGTAGCCCTAGCGTCGACCTGACTTAAATGGTACTATGAGGAGCTCCAGGTCGCGCTAGGAAAGCCTGCTTAAGAAGATACCGACTTAAACACGAAGAGCTGCAGAGTCTGCGCTAGAGGAATGATGGAGAAAATCATTGGCGATATGGGATGATGTTTTATCACGTATTCAATAGTATGCTTTGTGGTTGATGATGCTATCGGCAAACCCACATGACTCAAGACTTTTTTACTCGAGTCGGCGAGCTATTAATGGCAACGAAAACAATGCCTTTACTAGACTGATAGACAACATGGACGAACTCAACATTAACTTCGGTAAACCGATTGATATTATTAGGCGCGATCCGGTCTATCACCATAAGGAACTCCACTCTTTACAAATAATTCCACTACATTGTATGAGCGGGTAAGGGATAATGCGACAGCCTTATGGGTTCAGAAATTCGAATGACCTTCGAATGAGTAAAAAAGGTGATATTGCAGAGCTTCTCCGAAAGAAGTGATATTAGTATTGCCGATTTTAGGGAGTGAGAGGATCAGCATAAGATGTCCACAAACTATCTAACAATCTTCATTGATATAACACAGTGTTGGCCCCAGTGGTCAGCAAGCTCCTTGCCATACGGCTGTCGCAGAACCTGACAAGATTCGCTTCGCTCCGCTGCCGAATTATCAGAGAAAATGTAAGAAGCACATACTTCTATCTCAGAACATTCAATTCTAGCGAACTTGATACCCTCGAACTCGTCCAAGGCGAGGAAATGATCAATCTGAAACATCATGAATCTGATTAATGCAGTGACTGATGACCTCACTCTTATTGGAGGCAAGGGCCACGGGAACAAACTGTTGCCGTCGGCGTTTGGCAACGTTTCTTTGGCCTTCTTATGATGGCTGTGAACCGTATAACGATATCTGTAGATGAGATGCCGTTCCTAAGATTCGAACCGGGGACCTATGGGTTACTCTCCATCATCATCGCCATGAACCTCTCGCCACAAATCACGGGTCTTCGCTACACCATCCAGAGTTCGGAGTTTCTCATAATACCTATCGATCGTAAAGCGTAATATTCCGAACTTACTCCGCTTCGCTCTTGCTCACGGAGAAATGTCGAATACATTGAAGTCCCCGCAGACCAGAAACCCTGTGCGCTGCGGGTCAATCAACTCGGAAGCGATCGCTCTAAAACCATACAAGCAGAAATTAGCAGCGTTGTCTCTTACTCCTCCAGTGCAGTTTTGATGAGGCTCTTCAAATCCTCAGTGTTGGATTGGCGATGGGTATAACCTCCAAGGACGTCATAGTGCGAGTTCACCACCATCAACTTCATCGGAGTGTCGACTCCTTGAGCATCGGCTACTTGAAAGCATGTACAGATACAACCTTGCTGTGTGAAAGGGACACTGAAGAGAGATGGGTAGAGTTACGTCAACACCTGCAGTAGAGCCTATGGCCTAACCTCTTTCTGAACGTCTTCTTCCACCACTTCAGTTTTCTAAGTGGTCCTTCCTTTCTCCATGCCTCATACAAGCCTCCAGTCTGCTTCCAATACATATACCACCAATCAGTATAGTTACTGCCACTGCTACTTGAGTACCCTTCTAAAACATCATGGCTGCTCTTCAGTGCACGGTCAATATTGTATGTATACGAACCCCATACCTAATCATACCACTCCTCGTCCAACTCCTCGCTGGAGTTTCCAAGCCCTCACCTCCTGTAGCAGTGCGAGATCATGCTTCGCAGCCATCTCTCCGATACCCCTACTCCTCTCCTCCTGTCGAGTGCAGCCCCAAAACACAGGGTTAAATGTGAATCCATACGGGACCAGGTAACAGTTTTGAAGGTAGATACTTACCTCTACAGCATCAGCCATGTTAGCAGCATTGGGGTCTGCCATCAAACCGCTCATCTAATACAACTACAACAACCCCATTCTAACCTGATCACTAAGGTACATATGTTCTTGATGCTATCACTCCCCAGACTTATAAAACCCAACACACACGACACCCTACGAAACGATCACCATGCGTAGTGCCTATAGCTCCTCCCCTGACGGATCCACACCCTTTATGTCCATCAACTCTACTGTAGCAGTCACTGTTATAGCAATGATTAGACTACACTTCACCTCGGCTCAAGGATCACCTGCAGACCGGAAAAAAGCTTCTCCAGAGAGTGTAGAGGCCAGAGGGGCTGTCATTGGATACGCGACTGTGGATCCTCAAGAATAATGAGTCGTAGTATCTTGGTTTGGTCACAGATAAAGTATTGAATGCTACCACGAATGCTAACGGCCTTGACCGGGAACTAACCACCAATAGTCTCACTGGCTAGCACGACGCCGCCATTGCCATCGAGAATGGCGTTGGCAACATCGCTGATCTCATAGTACACCATGGTGCTGCCGATAAGCTTGGCCTTACTCTGAAACAGTCCTCCGAACCATCACCCCAACTAGCGATATAGCGCATAGCACAACCGTCAATACGGCAATCTGTTCAGTCATGATCGGGCATTCTGCTAACGAATCAGCAAAGCAATATAAACTAACACGCAATCTACTTCGCGGCTCGCCATAACTCCCGGACTGCTAGAAGTGACCTATGTCCTCTTCTTTGTGACAACGATGTCCCCGACTGCTACGGCATAGTTGTCCGGGTCCTTGACTACTTGAGCTCAAACTCAACAATTCAATATACACTTTACATTTTTCAGGCACAAGTCCTCGTTCGTAGCAACAGTAGTTTGGTGCAGCTGAAAGATAGCATCAAAGCGGTAACAATAATAATATGATAAGTCAGAGCCTGATAAGTTTATGAGTTATAAGAGCCTCTAGTGGAAGGCAGTCCCTCAATACAGTCTACTCAACAGGAAGGACCTTAACCAGATTAGTAGCTCCAGCGGTCTCCTCTCTCATACCGTGTACAGCAACAATCTTATCGCCAGTCTTTAACAGTCCGACCTCCTTACCATAGGTGATAGCACTCTGGATGACATGATCAGTTCCTTGGAAGGAAGGGACTTTGAGGGAGATGATACCGCGGACAGCACAGAGATGTTTAACAGTAGAGTCAGCGGCGGCAAGAGCCAGGATCTGCACGCCAGGACGGTACTTGGCGAGCAGCTGAGCAGTGCTTCCGGTCTCGGTGAGAGAAACGATGAGAGAGGCCCTCACTTGTCCAGCGAGCTCGACTGCTGCTGAGCATACAGATTCGACGACTGAGAGGCCTTGAGGAGTAGCGTTAAGAACAGCCTCACGAATGCGGAGGAAGAGAGTATCATAGTCGATCACAGCCTCAGCCTCCTCACAGATACGGCGCTGAATGGAGATAGCGTTAATAGGAAAGCTACCACCAGCTGACTCCCCAGATAGCATGACGCCATCAGTTCCATCCAAGACAGCATTGGCGACATCACTAGCCTCAGCACGAGTAGGCCTGGGATTGGTGATCATGGACTCAAGCATCTGAGTAGCGGTGATGACCGGCTTGCCAACCAGGTTACAACGAGCCATCATCATCTTCTGAGCGAGGAAGACCTTCTCAGGTGGGATTTCCATACCAAGATCACCACGAGCGATCATGATACCATCAGAGGCCGCCAGGATGTCATCGAAGTTCTTTAATCCCTCTTCGTTCTCGATCTTAGAAATTAGATGAACGTTCCTCCCACGTTCGCCCATCAGCTTGCGGAGACCACGGATATCATCACCATGCTGGACGAAGGAGACAGCGATAAAATCAATGCCATTGGGGATTCCCCAGTTAAGGATATCGTTGGCCTCCTTCTCACCAATGCAGGGAAGGTCTACCTTGACTCCGGGGAGGTTCATGTTCTTACGCTCACCGATTGTTGCATTATTCATAACACGGGTCTTCACCCCGTCCTCGTAGCACTCAAGGACCTTTAAGCTCAAAGTACCATCGGCCATGAGAATAGTCGACCCCGGCTTAACACTCTGTGGGAGTTTGGGATAAGTACAGGCGATCTTAGTCGCGTCACCCTTGAAGTCATAATCAGTGGTGAGCATCAAGTCCTGGCCAGCTTGTAACTGCACCTTGCCACCAGCGGCGAAGAAACCCGAACGGATCTCGGGCCCCTTGGTATCCAACAAAACCGCAACTACCCTACCAGGACGTTGCTTCAGAGCAGCCTTTAGGTTCTTGAGAGTGTTACCATGCGTCTCGAAGTCACCATGAGAGAAGTTGAATCTCGCGATGTTTAAGCCCTGATCGATCATCTTCACCAACGTATCAACATCCCAACATGATGGTCCCATAGTGCATATGATCTTGGTCTTCCTATACAGCGAGTCTGCAGCCTTGCCATCCCAGGCCGAGATCTTGGACATGTCATCGGATATAGCGATTGCGGCTTGACCCAGAACAGCATGTCCCTCCACCTTGCGTCCGCTGAAAGCTTGATACGACATTCACGTGATGATGCAACAGAGAGACTCGAAAAGATATCCTAGACCGACCTATATATCTTCCTCCGACCATCTACAGATTAGACATTTACACCGGACCCACGGCGCAGATCATGACCAGCACGCCTGAACGTGATAAACTCGTAGCGAGGCTTGCGCGGTCATCTCGACAATATCTACGTGCAAGTCGATCCGCGTTTCGCCGTAATCACTTCACCTTACCTGCATGTCTGGATCGACAATGGTCTAGCTGAAGCCACTGGAAGATGAATGTCGAACGAACGGTACGGACTTTGTGGGTATTACACGACCAAGTATTGCACGCATGCCCGCCACGTTATAAAGACCAGAGGTCGTGTTTAGCAGTGTCTACCGGGATATTGCCGGCGAGGCTGAGGATTGGGATAGGAGTGAATCGTGTATCGGCGAGAGTTGAGGACTCCTATATTCCACGGGCCGTGAGTCAGACTACACCGTTTTGAAGCCTTTCCCCCTCTTAGTATAATCAGTTTCCATAAGGGGCAGCTATGCCACTCCAAGATATGCCTTGGTAGAAGCAAGTACTCAACACGAAATGGGAAGGTCAATGAATATGACTGGCGAAACTCCCACTTAGATGGACCACTGTTGGTAAAGCCAGCTCCACTTTGGGGCACATATGCCAATCCAGGACTCCGCCACATTGGGACTGGTGTTTGTCCTCAATATTGAGAGAGCAACACAACACTGAAATTCGTTAAACAACACAGCGGTGTAACCGACTGTTGGAACGAACTGGCTAACTGTTACGCCAGATATACCACACTAAGTGGTATGAAGGGAAATTGGTACCCAAGGAAACTCGCACTATGAACAGGAACGTCTAGTATTTATTCAACATTGACAACCTCCATCATGTTGGTGGCACCAGCAGTGTTCTCCTTGACACCGTGAACGGCGACAACCTTATCACCGACCTTCACTAGACCCACAGACTTGGCGTACTCGAGGGCCTTGGCGATGACAACCTCGGTATCCTTGAGAGACTCAACCTGGAAGGGGAGGATGCCACGAGCAACGGCGGTGTGGGCAACGGTGTGCTTGTTGTCGGTGACGCACAAGATCTGCTGACGAGGACGGTACTTGCCCAAAAGACGAGAAGTAGAACCAGTCTGACTGAGGGCGAGGATGAGAGAGGCATTGACCTCGGAGGCGAGACCAACAGCGTTAGCAGAGATGGACTCGGCAACAGAAAGACCCTCAGGGTGCTTGTTCATGACAGCCTCACGGATGCGGAGGTAAAGAGAGTCATAATCGATGACAGACTCGGCGCTCTCGCAGATGCGACGCTGGATGGAAATGGCGTTCACAGGGAACTTGCCGTTGGCGGCTTCACCAGAGAGCATAACACCATCAGAACCGTCAAGAACAGCGTCGGCGACATCACTGACCTCAGCACGAGTGGGTCTGGGGTTCTCGATCATGGACTCGAGCATCTGAGTAGCGGTGATGACGGGCTTGCCAGCGAGGTTGCAGCGAGCAGTCATCATCTTCTGAGCGAGGAAGACCTTCTCAGGGGGCATCTCCATACCAAGATCACCACGAGCAATCATAATGGCATCGGAAGCCTCAAGGATATCATCAAAGTTCCTAAGACCCTCAGTGCTCTCGATCTTGGAGATGATCTGAACGTTCTTACCGGCCTCACCCATCAACTTACGAAGACCACGGATATCATCACCATGCTGGACGAAAGAAGCGGAGATGAAATCGATTCCGTTAGGGAGTCCCCAGTTAAGAATATCGTTGGCCTCCTTCTCACCAATGCAAGGAAGGTCGACTCTGACGCCGGGGAGGTTCATGTTCTTACGCTCACCGATGATAGCGTGGTTCAAGACACGAGTCTTAACGCTGTCCTCGTAGCACTCAACAACCTCCAGGTTAACCGTACCATCAGCCATAAGGATGATGGAACCGGGCTTGACACTCTGGGGGAGCTTCTCATAGGTACAGGCGATCTTATGAGCATCACCCTTGAAGGAGTAATCAGTGGTGAGGATCAAGTCCTGACCGGCCTCGAGCTCGACCTTACCACCAGCGGCGAAGAAACCCGAACGGATCTCGGGTCCCTTGGTATCGAGCATGACAGCGACGTGCTTGCCGGGGCACTGCTTGAGAGCCTCCTTGAGGTTGGCAAGGCACTTGCTGTGGCTCTCAAAGTCACCGTGGGAGAAGTTGAACCTGGCGATGTTGAGTCCCTGGTTGATCATCTTAACCAAGGTCTCGACATCCCAATCAGAAGGACCCATAGTGCAGGTAAGAGTGGTCTTACGGGTGATGGGGTCACTGCTGGAACCATCCCAGGCGGCGAGGTCGGCCATCTGATCAGTGATAGAGACGGCGGCCTGACCGAGAACACCGTGGTCTTTGACAGAGCGTCCGCTGAAACCGTGAGACATATTTTATGAGGAAAAACAACTGCGAAAAGGTTTTCGTAAGAGATGGTCACCATCTCACCGAGAGACGCTTTCAACATTGGTACAATCGAGCACACCAGAAACACTCACGAAACTTTGAGTATCGACTGATCATGTCGGAGGCTTAACACTGCGCAGCTCCGTCGGTGAGCACACAAGCTTCACACCCGCTGTCCCAAAGCTTCACCCATGGGGAGCACTCTAATGTTCCTAGGTTTCGTTGAGCGAGGTTTCGGGAAATCAGGAGTGATTGCCCCGATCAAGTCTGCGGAACAGCTTCTTGACACTCTTCTCATGAATAACGAGTAATAACTTCGATGCGAGTGTGCCGATCGCAGTCATCATCACCCTCTCTAGGCTCATTCCGCGCTCAGTAAGATTAACTTCTTCTAGCCGGGTAGTCATGTGACCCGAAGATATGCTTCAATATAATCAGATCCCCATTTGCCCGGCATGGCAGGATCAGTCTATCAGCCTCACGGTGGAGAGCCAGATTTCGTCGCAACGCTCAACACCAGTTACAACTGATTACGCAGAGTCAGTGAGGTCGCTGTTAGTAAGGGTGTTAAAAGTCGCATATGCAACATAAAGACTAGTCTCCGTTCTCAGTGCCACGCTGCTACTGACTACACGCCAAGGCTTCTTCCAACAACCTAGTACGTCACACTGGAATCTCCGATTTGTATATCTCCCCTCAAGCGGGATAGGACTCACCAACAACTAAATTGATGATCGCAATCTGTCGAAGGAGAAGTTCTCCTGTACGTTTCCACGAGCTGATCGTCCCATCTCGTGCGACTTTATGCTGGGTGACTGCAGAATCGATTATACCAGGAATCTGGGATGGCCTAGCTGTCCATAGAAGAAACTTATCTCACTTTGGAGGAGAGCTTAGTTTTTGAAAACTGTGAGAAAGGCATCGATGCTTTGAGAACGCTGCTTCGGCGTCTACCTCATCATCCACCACGATAATATCTGGTCATCTCATCATCAGCCACGATAATGTCCAGAGTAGAGCTAGTCTGACCTTTGGTGAGGATGAGAGAGCTGTTGGTCTCGCAATTTCTGATGGTGGCCACTTGATGTACTATATTCGAGGTGTATGCTTCTCGACGTGCTCATAATGAATGTAGCGACCATGACACTCTTAATGACACTGACGCAGGACATCACTATCCAACAAGACTTTTCAGGATATTGATGCCACCCGATGTGGTACTTCCATATCTCGCGAAGCTTTCCTGCAAGTCTTTTACTCTCACAGCAATCAATACCCGTTTACCCTCAACTATGGCGATGACCAGCTCAACATTCTCGAGTGCAGAAACAAGAAACACGGAATCACCGAAATACTTGTCTTTAGGAACAGCTATCACGTAAGGAAGGTACAATTATTGTACTAAATTGTTCAGAAAGCCAGTGTTTTAATCGAGAAACAAGGAACGATAGCGAATAGCTTACTCGACATTGACAACCTCCATCATGTTGGTGGCACCAGCAGTGTTCTCCTTGATACCGTGAACGGCAACAACCTTATCACCAACCTTCACGAGACCCACAGACTTGGCGTACTCGAGGGCCTTGGCAATGACAGTCTCGGTATCCTTGAGAGACTCAACCTGGAAGGGGAGGATGCCACGAGCGACGGCGGTGTGGGCAACGGTGTGCTTGTTGTCGGTGACGCACAAGATCTGCTGACGAGGACGGTACTTGCCCAAAAGACGAGAAGTAGAACCAGTCTGACTGAGGGCGAGGATGAGAGAGGCATTGACCTCGGAGGCGAGACCAACAGCGTTAGAGCAGATGGACTCGGCAACAGAGAGACCCTCAGGGTGCTTGTTCATGACAGCCTCACGGATGCGGAGGTAAAGAGAGTCATAATCGATGACAGACTCGGCGCTCTCGCAGATGCGACGCTGGATGGAAATGGCGTTCACAGGGAACTTGCCGCTGGCGGCTTCACCAGAGAGCATAACACCATCAGAACCGTCAAGAACGGCGTTAGCAACATCACTGACCTCGGCACGAGTGGGTCTGGGGTTCTCGATCATGGACTCGAGCATCTGAGTAGCGGTGATGACGGGCTTGCCAGCGAGGTTGCAGCGAGCAGTCATCATCTTCTGAGCGAGGAAGACCTTCTCAGGGGGCATCTCCATACCAAGATCACCACGAGCAATCATAATGGCATCGGAAGCCTCAAGGATATCATCGAAGTTCCTAAGACCCTCAGTGCTCTCGATCTTGGAGATGATCTGAACGTTCTTACCGGCCTCACCCATCAACTTACGAAGACCACGGATATCATCACCATGCTGGACGAAGGAAGCGGAGATGAAATCGATTCCGTTAGGAAGTCCCCAGTTGAGGATATCGTTGGCCTCCTTCTCACCAATGCAAGGAAGGTCGACTCTGACGCCGGGGAGGTTCATGTTCTTACGCTCACCGATGATAGCGTGGTTCAAGACACGAGTCTTAACGCTGTCCTCGTAGCACTCAACAACCTCCAGGTTAACCGTACCATCAGCCATAAGGATGATGGAACCGGGCTTGACACTCTGGGGGAGCTTGTCGTAGGTACAGGCGATCTTATGAGCATCACCCTTGAAGGAGTAATCAGTGGTGAGGATCAAGTCCTGACCGGCCTCGAGCTCGACCTTACCACCAGCGGCGAAGAAACCCGAACGGATCTCGGGTCCCTTGGTATCGAGCATGACAGCGACGTGCTTGCCGGGGCACTGCTTGAGAGCCTCCTTGAGGTTAGCAAGGCACTTGCTGTGGCTCTCGAAGTCACCGTGGGAGAAGTTGAACCTGGCGATGTTGAGTCCCTGGTTGATCATCTTAACCAAGGTCTCGACATCCCAATCAGAAGGACCCATAGTGCAGGTAAGAGTGGTCTTACGGGTGATGGGGTCACAGCTGGAACCATCCCAGGCGGCGAGGTCGGCCATCTGATCAGTGATAGAGACGGCGGCCTGACCGAGAACACCGTGGTCCTTGATAGAGCGTCCGCTGAAGCCGTGAGACATGTTGTTAGGGAAAGTAATTCACTGCGAGAACCCCATCATCGTCCGCCCAAAGCGTTCACCTTTTCTCTCCAATACCAATCCCACATCACACTATCCCCCTAGTATACGCCAATTCACCGATTCTATGCAGAATGTCAGTATTGTTTGCCCTTAAGAATTCGGGAGAATTAGCTAAGCAGCCACGATCGCTCGGGAGACAACATCACACAAAGCTCGAGAGCCTCCCCTTAGCGCAAGATCGTCTCCAGAGACAGGCAAGGCTTTGTTGAGCCATACATAGTCGTTCGAATCGAGTTACATTGAATGTATTATCATCACGGAATCACCATAATGCGAGGATAAGCTCACCTCAGGCTGACATACCACTCGTTACGAAACCACACTATCCATCGCTAATTGTGGGCCCAGTAAGTCATGATGACCTGTTGCGTCACAACAGACCAACCAGTTGTTCAGAAAGTTACGTCAGGACCAGAAACAACGAATGTCAAATGCTGGAACTGAACAGTAGAGATGACCATAACATCTAGTCGTGATTGGTTGTGCATGCGTGCAAACGCGTCTCCATATGTATATCACTGAACCGTCTTCGCCTTGCTATCAATCCTCACCTCGTGCTGTTCAGTTACAAACTTTGAGCATCGCGGAAGTTCTCTATTGACGGAAAGGCAGAACTCAACCGTACATGTCTCAACGAAATGGCTTCAGCATCTCTTGGCATCACCAATAGCAAGGAAGTCGATAAGGCGGAAGATTAGCAAGAGGTAGATGGTTTAAGACACATCAACCCTACAAGGTGTACGCAGTAACTGCGATTGGTGAGTGAACTAGCTCATACTAAGCTTACTAGTGATGTATACTCTCTAGGGGGAGAGGGAAACTTAGAAAAAGATTGAGAAACCTGCCACGATGGTCAACAACACTGATACTGAATAGGAGTATCTGCCAACGACTACTTTGAGAACAGCAGTCAAATGGACAATATTTACAATAAAAACAGCTGATAACTTCACTCCACAACAAGAATCTTCACCTGCTTACAAGCACGAGGGGTCGAATCTTGTCTACCATGGACGGCAACAACTTTGTCGCCAACTCGGCACATCCCCATTTGCGTAGCATGTGCGAGTGCATTATGTAGTATATGATCAGAACCTTGGAACGAGGGCACTTGTAGAGGAATAACGCCTCTACAGAGGGATAAGTGCTTCACAGTTGACTCAAACCGAGACAGAGCCAATATCTGTTGAGGTGGTCTGTACTTGGCTATAAGTCGGGCGGTGTTGCCGGTCTCAGTGAGAGCTATTATGAGGGAAGCATCACACTCGAGAGCTGCTTTAACCGCTGATGTACAAACCGCTTCAGCATAACACATACCTTGTGGGTGGGTGTTGATAACAGCCTGGCGAATGCGACAGTAAAGGGCATCATGGTCGATTGAATGCTCAGCAACCTCACAGATGGAGCGCTGGAAGTGAACTGCACTGATAGGAAACTTGCCACTTGCACTTTCACCAGATAGCATAACACCATCAGAACCGTCGAGAACGGCGTTAGCAACATCACTGACCTCAGCACGAGTGGGTCTGGGGTTCTCGATCATGGACTCGAGCATCTGAGTAGCGGTGATGACGGGCTTGCCAGCGAGGTTGCAGCGAGCAGTCATCATCTTCTGAGCGAGGAAGACCTTCTCAGGGGGCATCTCCATACCAAGATCACCACGAGCAATCATAATGGCATCGGAAGCCTCAAGGATATCATCAAAGTTCCTAAGACCCTCAGTGCTCTCGATCTTGGAGATGATCTGAACCTTCCGACCACGACTTCCCAACACCTTCCGCAGTTCACGAATATCATCACCATGCTGGACGAAGGAGACGGCAATGAAATCGATTCCGTTAGGAAGTCCCCAGTTGAGGATATCGTTGGCCTCCTTTTCACCAATGCAGGGAAGGTCGACTCTGACGCCGGGGAGGTTCATGTTCTTACGCTCACCGATGATAGCGTGGTTCAAGACACGAGTCTTAACGCTGTCCTCGTAGCACTCAACAACCTCCAGGTTAACCGTACCATCAGCCATAAGGATGATGGAACCGGGCTTGACACTCTGGGGGAGCTTCTCATAGGTACAGGCGATCTTATGAGCATCACCCTTGAAGGAGTAATCAGTGGTGAGGATCAAGTCCTGACCGGCCTCGAGCTCGACCTTACCACCAGCGGCGAAGAAACCCGAACGGATCTCGGGTCCCTTGGTATCGAGCATGACAGCAACGTCCTTATTTGGCCGCTCCCTGAGTGCATCCATCAAATTCCTCAGAGTTCTACTATGGGTCTCAAAGTCACCATGAGAGAAGTTGAACCTCGCCACGTTCATACCCTGATCGATCATCTTCACCAAGGTATCAACATCCCAACATGATGGTCCCATAGTGCATATGAGCTTGGTCTTCCTATACAGCGGGTCGGGAGCATAGCAGTTTTCAGTCCAAACCGACAACCCCGCCAGGTCATCACCCATAGCAACATGTGTTTGACCAAGTACTCGCTTCCCTCGTACACAACGTCCAGTGAAGCCATGGCGAGCTAACGGAGAATCAACAAGATCATCAACCATTATAGAGAATCGTACTGAATGATTGAAAACCAGTCTGAAAGCATCGTACTTTTTCACCCTTTGAAATTGTCAAAACCCAATACGTAACAACTCTTTAGTCACCCCAGGGATAGAAAGCTTTCGAAGACGGCGGAGAGTCACATGTGCAAATTAGTGGTCGACCCACTAGGTGATCATCGCAACGGAAACCTTCCATCGTAATTGTGCATGACGAAACTTGATAGCTACCGAGAGAGCAGAACGCAACCCTCATTGGATAGACCATGAAAAACTTGAAGTGAGACCATCATAGCACGATGAATGTTTACTAATCAATAGCAGATCATCAAATACCTTCCTGATCTCATTAGCAAAAAAGTGTGTGCTCCTTATGGTAACGTCGTTCCCCCCGATCTAGTCTACCTCGAGGACCTTCATCAGATTACTAGATCCGCTCACCTCCTCCTTTACACCATGCACAGCGACTATCTTATCACCAATCGAACATAGGCCCATCTGCTTAGCGTGATCAAGAGCATTCCTTATGACATGATCAGTGCCTTGAAAAGACGGCACTTGTAAGGCTACGATCCCTCTATATAGCTGCAAATGCTTGACAGTAGACTCAGATGCAGACAGGGCCAGTATTGGTGGATACGGACGATACTTCGCCAACAACTTTGCCGTAGACCCCTAAAGGACATTCATCGTAATAATCAATTTCTAGCATTACCGTCTCAGTTAGTGCAACGATGAGCTTAGCGTTGCATTCAATACAAGCCTTCACTGCAGATGAACATACAGCTTCTGGTATGGCCAATCCCTGAGTGCTACAATAACAAGAACAATTACCACAGCCTACCCCTTGGCTTTGATTCATAACAGTCTCACGTATTCTCTGGAACAAAGTATCGTAGTCAATACAGGTCTCCGCCTCCTCGCAGATCCTTCTCATAATAGTCACAGCTTGTATAGGGAATGCCCCTCCTGCCGACTCCCCAGATAGCATCACAGCATCAGTTCCATCCAACACGGCATTGGCGACATCACTAGCCTCAGCACGAGTAGGCCTGGGGTTAGTGATCATGGACTCAAGCATCTGAGTAGCGGTGATGACCGGCTTGCCCAGGATATTGCATCGTCCAGTCATCATCTTCTGAGCGAGGAAGACCTTCTCAGGTGGGATTTCCATACCAAGATCACCACGAGCGATCATGATACCATCAGAGGCCGCCAGGATGTCATCAAAGTTCTTCATACCGGACTCATTCTCGATTTTGGATATGATCTTAATATGGCGACCTCTCGGGCCAAGCAGCTTACGTAGACTCCTTACCTACAAAATAACAATCGACAATAAGCGAACAGAAGAGGTCATTACATCATCGCCATCCTGGACAAAGGAAGCTGCTATAAAATTGGCCCCTTGCGGTATACCAAAATTCAAAATATCATTCTTATCTTTCTCGCTAATACATGGCAGATCCACTTTAACCCCAGGCAAGTTCATATTCTTACGTTCACCAATGATAGCATTGTTCATAACCCGAGTTCTAACGCTGTCCTCGAGGCATTCAATAACCTTCAAACTGACAGTGCCATCAGCCATTAGGATCGTAGACCCAGGCTTGACACTCTGAGGCAGTTTACTATAACTGCATGCGATCATATCAGAATCGCCTTTGTAACCATAGTCAGTAGTAAGGATAAGCTCATTACCAGCCACTAGCTTAACCTTGCCACCAGACTCTTTGAAAAAACCACTTCTAATTTCAGGCCCTTTAGTATCCAGAAGGACCGCAACATGCTTCCCAGGACGCTGCTTCAATGCCTCTCGAATACGCTGGACCGTAGCACCGTGGGTTTCAAAATCACCATGAGAAAAATTGAGTCTGAAATTAACAGCCTCAGCTACGATCATCACAAATGTAATAATTACCTCGCCACGTTCATACCCTGATCGATCATCTTTACCAAGGTATCAACATCCCAACATGATGGTCCCATAGTGCATATGATCTTGGTCTTCCTCCCAAAAGTATCACTAGGATTAGAACTCCACTTAGACAATGCCGCCATGTTATCAGACAGCACTATGGAAGCTTGACCATACACGCAGTGGTCCTTGATAAAACGTCCGGTGTATCCATGGGTCGACAACATTGTGGGAGACAAAAAACTAAATCGCCACAGACGAGGCTTTCACCGTAGTACCCGGACTGCGCAAGACGGTAGCGCGCGCCCATTCAATTCGATTTGTGTGGGTTCCATTGCTGTGGTAAGTCCATGGATATCAGTAAATTGCCGGAACAACAGCAACGATTCATTGATGTCTGATAATCGGATAAGTTTCACACAAGAAGGAGACTCCATGAGCCCAGTTCGTGCAGCCCTCAGGTTGAAGTTATTGAATTTCTGGCGGCCAGAAGTGCGCAACTGTTGTTGGCAATCACTTGTTAATCTTTCTCATACCGACCGTCTGTAATGTATCAGCTCAGTGATCGGATCATTGTATCGTGATGCTGATCAGGGCTTTCGACTCCTCTCCAAATCTCAACGATTTCTCATTCCCTCTCCAAATTCCCACTTTAGGTGGAAACTGAACGATTTTGGAATGCTCTCATATACTGGCTTGGCGATCTGTTGCCCTTACTAAGGCGAGTCGAATGTCCCAGTGTTCAAGACCTGATCGCTGGGTGCCTGATAAAATCCTGATACATGAGCTTTGCGGAAGAACTTGATGACACTATCCAATGAGAGGCAATATCATCAGATAAATAATACCTGATTTCTATCACAATAGTGTCACTAGCGTAATGCTCGGGAAAGGGGAAAGGGCATCCCAGAGCACGGAAGCTCATCTCCCACACGATGAGAGATCATCACAGAGTTCATCGGAGAGATCACTTATAACAAGAAAAGAACAAGACATGTAAGGCCTACATGCCGGCCGTCATCCCCTGTGGGAGATGTGTCTAATGTATCACCTAACTGATCGGTCGCTTACGTTGACATGATCACCTCTAGTTTGTCTTCTTAGCATACACAGTGGCTCCTTAATTCCTGGTAAAGCCTGGCAAGTGTTGTGTAGGTTTATGTGCGGGTACGGGACATATTCCGTATATTATTGGGCCTACCATAAGATACCACTCCTTCGCCTTTTCATGTAATTATTTCCACTTCATGATGGAGCCTTCTGCCCTAGATGGTGTTACGTCATCATCATCAACCGGAGGGGATGCCCACCAGATAGTACGACCGTCCTTCCCTGTTCGAACTGCCCGAGGCCTCTCTCGAATGTGATGGAACCACCATCTTAACTATCACTATATCTCCCTCTGTTGTTGAAGGTACACCTATTACCTCGAGAAGACCACAATCTGGTCGAAGAGCCGTTGGTTGGCCTTCCTCACAGCATGCGTTTTATACGGTATCAGAGTATACCTCCTCCAGGGTGATCAGACTACGCCTTACTGCCATTCACCATTGATTATTAGGTTTTTACATCATCACCTATGCCTGGTCTATCTACCTACTCAATCTGTTTATAGGCTTTATATCCCCTCAAGTGGACGACGAGGATAGCAACTCTCCCGTTCTACCAACGCGGTAATCATAACTATGCAAGAGGTTATGGCAGTAATTCTTCTTCTCAGAGATTCGGATGAATTCAGACCGTTCCAGCGCAGACTGCCAGAGTTCGTATTCTGGAAGAGGGCCATGCAAGCGACAGTAATCTCCATCACTATGACGGTAGCCTCATTCACCCCGCCCACTTTGATAATTCCCTCTCAGTTTTTCCCTTTCTTCGACCTACCCGTGTTCTGGCCTATCCTCTTGATGTACTTTATAATGCTTTTCACTCTCACTATGAAGCAACAGATAAAGGTACATACAATGGCACCGCTATGATGGTGATCTTATTGTTGTACTCAGCATATGATAAAACATAGATATGTGCTTGGTCGCATGGGAAGAAATCGTAGTACTTCATACCACTCCTCTGTAACATCACATCGTGTAGGTATAAGGGGAAAGAAATGAAGTGATCGAAGTGATCATTAAATTGGCGGCGAGGAAGGGACGAAGAGGACGATTGACTTAATACCAATACATCCGCTACTGGCAGGGACCATTCTCTTACATTTTCTGCACCGTCTAGCTCAGAGTACGACGTGGCAGTATTATTCAACTCCATCATAGTTCACCTTGGTGTGGTATGTCCACGATGCAATTATTTTTCCTCTCTCTCATCTGCCTACTGAGCGAGTGTACGCTGGCTGGTGCTCTCTATGGCAAGAAGGGTTCCTTCGTTCAAGTGTTGGACGCTCAAACATTCACCAAAACGGTTGTTCAAAGTAGTAGCATAATTGCCATCATTTTATTGGTGTTGTAGGTAACGAATTGTGGGTAGTGGAGTTCTATGCTGATTGGTGTGGTCATTGTCAGCAATTTGCACCTGAATATAAGAAGGTAATCGGAAGGTCCCCGGTTCTTTTCCCACCAGGGGTATTTTTCTTCCTCAGGCTGCCAGTGCTCTTGCGGGGATTGTTAACTTGGCGGCTGTGAATGATCAGCCGGTGATGGGTCCCTATGGTGTTCAGGGTAGGTACTTATGTAGGGCGCAAGTTCGATCCCTCGTGACTGCTTTTAGGCTTCCCCACTGTTAGGTTTTTTGGTGAGGACAAGTCTAAGCCGGTCGACTACAGCGGTCCAAGGGAAGCCAAGAGGAGGATATGGTAGCGACTTGAGTCGTTCTAGTGAGAGGATAAGTGATCTTATTTTTAGGAACTCTAATGACCCTGGCTTCCGAGTGGACGCTCGTCGTAAGTGTGGTTTTGAATACTCATGAGTGTTTCTCAAGATATTGTTATCGTGTTCAGTTGGAAGGAGCAGGGGGCAATGCATATGAAGCGATTGAGTGACTCCAGTAAGGATAAAGGCACTCTCTTCACTTTTAGTATCGAATGAATAGGCACATGCTAGTGAACTGAGGGTTTTGTCCCGTCGACCAAGTTATATCCCAGCATGAACATCTAGAGTCGTCACACGGGTGTTTCGGTGCGTAATCTGCACGTGCGTGCGAATGATCCTTCCCTTGAACATGGTGGAAGTTCCAAACGAACTGTGTATGGCAGCATATACAATAAGAAGAGGAAATCCTCATGGTGCGGTACATGACCTTGCGGATCGAGGCAATTAGAATACGTACAAATCTGTGGCAATCGCTGGAGCTGAGCTGAGCTGAATCCAGCACGAGATATCAGAATCCGAGATATATCATGAAATAATCTAGTTCAATGCCGTGCTTCCTTCGGCCTTACTAGTTAGGCGATCTACTGGATATTCGCTTCCTCGTATGATAGGACGAGGCAAGTACCATACTTGACAAATCCGGGTTCTCACTATCTACAGAGAGAATTCCTATCTATCAAGGCTGCTTAGGATAGAGCGACTGTGGTCGCGTTTAATTCGACTACCATCTCTTAGTTGCGATGATTATCAACTGATATACTTCACTGATTCAGTTGCTTATGGTTGATCGGCAATAGATTCACCCATAGCTGAGCTCACTTGACTGCTTGCGACTTATTGAAGCAGTCACAGCATAGCTGATGACGTACCAAAGATTACCCCTCGACGATATTTATGAGATGGCTACTGTCAATGCTCATCCCGATATGATGATTCTTAGCCTCTGAATCACGTATCCACATTGTTACGACTCACATGAAACAGATAGATAGTCATCATCTTTGTCTACATAGACAGTGATCGGTGATCCTCTCCTGCTGCGACTTATGCATCAT